AAGTTGGTTTTATCAGAAGCAGAACACGTAAAAGTTTGAGCAAAAATCATATTAAAAATAAGAAAGTTATGAATTGCTAATGGTGCGATCAATCAAACACAAACTGGCAACTCTGAATTTTTTTTTTGCAAGTTCACCTTTCATTTGCCCTGTACTACAAAACTTCGAAAGTGTACATCTTCCTTTAAGTTTAATTTCAATCCAACATTCACCCTATATAACATTAGTGCAATTATGTTTTATACAACCCTTGTACTAAACAAATCTATTTCGTCATCCATAACTAAGAAAATGAAAGTTTATGAAAATTGTCTGTACATAGTAAATCGGAGTGGAGCTTGCATGATACATCACAGAGTTGCTAATTTGTGTTAATTTGTCGCATCATCAAAAATTCATAATTTTCTTATTTTTCATCGTATCTTCGCTCAAAATGTCAGTGTATGTTTCTATAATTGTTCTGCTTGTATTAAAACCAACTTTATAATATCAGGGTGGACTTCCCCTTTAACGAAAAGAGAGTTCTTGAATGATTGATTGACGAGGCGTCATTTTGCTGACGCAGGCATCCGTCAGCGACTCATGCGGTAAATGGCTCACCTTTTGAAAATGATACCGTACACAATGTCAGTTCAAAAGAAACAGTGCAAAGAATCCTTTTAATAACTGACGTATCGGCTACTTGTCTAAAGAGGGTCGATTAGCGCAGATAATAGCGTCTCGGATACAACGGGCTTGACAAAAATAAGCCTTTCAAACTTTTTTGACACCCTTTCTTGGTCATATGAATAGATGTGTTCTATATAAACTTGTTTTATATTCATAGACTTATTACTTTGGAAAAAATAATTGGGTCGAGGATTATGATGACATCTGCGACAAAGGACGCATTATTTATATTAGTATAGGATAGCTCGCGTTATCCTTTGCAATCACCAGGTAATTAGCCAGTGTCTATGTGACGCTATTTTGGTACCATAGTGATTTGCCCAAAAGTATACTTTTTGTCTTGAGTATCGAAAATAACATAAATATCTAGTTCTGCAATAATAATTTTATAATAAGCATTCAAAGATTTTTCATTGATGAAATAAAATGGATATATTTTAGAAGATATTGCCAACGCTCATTAAAATACATGTAGTTAAAAGTATTTGTAAGTCATTGACTCTGTGTACATGTAGTTCGTTTACCCGAAACAATTTTAGTTCCTCCAGTATTCTAGATTTATTACAAGGCGAGTTCTTAAATGGATAGCTGGTAATAAGTTGTCCCTAATCCGCGAGGCCATTGAGAGCTGTGTAGCTGTCATTAGCGGAGACGAAATCTGATATATATAAATGGACGTATAATCTTGTATTAGTATGATCAATCTTGTAAGAAATACCAGGTTCTTCCTAATAAAAGATATGGAAGCAGGATCTATTGTAATCGTAGAAAACATACTTTTACAGAAGAGAAGAATCTAGGAGCATATGTATTATAAGATCCACATTATTTTAAAAACAAATGGAATGGAAACATTTCAATTTAAATTGTCCTTTCCGTGACGTAATTGCTACGTTTGCAGTACTTTTGTTTTTCATTATTGACGCGTTCACATAAATCTTACCTCGGTCATTTACCATATTCACTGGATGTGCTTTTATCTTTCTAATCGCTTGTCATTGTACGTCCTATTGTGAAATTATATGTTTAATTCAAGTGAATACGGTTTTGAGAAAACAAAGACAACTGCACTGAACAAAGTAGATCCTATTTTTGCATTTTAAAAAAGGTGTTTTTTTTTAAAAATCCGCATACGTTGCAGCATTTCTAAGATTTTTATATGGGAATGACCATAGGAACAAATGGAAACCAATACCAAAAATGATTATCATTATAACACTAGCCATACCAATAATTACAAAAACAGTTATAGTTATGATACTAAAAATGGGGGAAGCCTCACCAGCGTTACTGCTCTTCTTCTTCTAAAGGGCCCTGCAATTATTATTGCCCCATGTACCCATTTAAACCTGGATGGAGAGTGGAAAATATGGAGTAATGTCTTGCCATATGACGTCCGTTCGTAGCTGGGATTCGAACCCACAACCCTTAGATTAAGACTCAAATAAATGAACCACTTTACCACGAACAAGGAAATATGTTGTTCATGTTGATAGGACTAGTAAAGTAACTTAATCCAGAATGCATTGGTCACATGAAAATGCATCACAGTTTCTTGAAAGAAAATCAAGAACAAAATTTAAACGTCGATTAGGAGCATATAATTCTATCCAGCCAATTGTACCGAGAGGCAGGGTGGTTTATGAAGGGTTTTAAGTAACAGGGACAGGTTTTAATTTTGGAATGACAGGTTTGAAAATCACATACAGGTACAATTTTTTCTCAAATAATGTGTCCGAAATACTAGAAGTAAAATTTGTTTGAAAATGTTTTAAGTATGGCTCCGATTGCACACGAGAGCATCTATGAAACCCAGAGCTTTACAAGGGGACTTCGCGCGTCATTTATATCAGTTCTTACTTCCCCTAACAAGTCCAAGTTGCATTATAACATATTCTATTTTTGTTTGTTGACCATCCTGACTCTCAATTTTGATGCAATGTTACAATAAATCGCCAGACGAGAAGATACCATGAGAGGTTGTCTGGAAGACAGTCTTAAAAATATTGGATCATGAAATAGAATTTTCGTTTAATTCTTGATTCGCCCCAGGCAGTCTGTACCTGTTTGGCTTTCAGTAGTGTAGCGTGTAGACAGCGCTCTTTCTCTACACAAATTAAACTCAACTCGACATACCGGGCTGTCATTCGGTGCGCCCACGGCTAATGCTTTATCAAAGAAGTTCCGGGTCACGCAGGGTCAAGCCATTTATGACTGTCATCTCGCTCAAGCAGTTACTCAATTCTGTTCCCAAGCCTAGTCCCACTCTCCCTTTGCAACATTATTATCATAAGCATGATATGTAATTAAGCACACTTCTCAGTTTCCGATTTGAGATTGAGCGGTGGAACTTTGTAAAATCGTGAAATGCCTGCTGCACACGAAGTTTGCAGGCCGAAACCATTGTCAGTCGTTGTGCGTAATATTGTCTGCGCTATGAGACTACAATAGGCTCTGCACAATATGACACAGACAGAGACTGACATATCCAGGCTCTGCTCAAGGCTTTACGAATAGTGGGAAAGTGTTAAATTGGAGTCTTTGCTTGTAGACTACAAACGAGGCGCCTTTTTGATTGCATTATAACCCGCGTTAACATGGCTAGTTTAACCTGTTTTAAAATCGCATATATGCCGTTTTTCCAAAATATTATTCACATCAAACAATTTGGATTAAAAAGAAAGAGGTTAAATTCCATTAAACGTATGTTCTTTTCAACAATATATTTGTAATACACACTGTCTGGTTATACGTTAGCATAAAGGACAGTCGACCCCGGTTTTAATCTCCAAACATGATGTTGCAAGTTTAAAGAGCATAACCTACAGCGGTACCTTTGCAAACATTGCAGGCGGAGACAAGGGCGTTATTTGGCAACTTGGCAGAGAGTGACGGCTCTCAAAGATGAGGAGGGATATAGGGAAGGATGGAAGACCACCTTGGTGAGATAAATTCGTGGGATAAACTGGTCATGGAAAATGAAAACGTTCCCATTGCATACAGTTCGATCTCCTACCAACAATCTATATTATTCTCTGCTATATATAAAAGAAACGTCCATTGTTGTTGCAAACTAATGGACTAAAGACAAAGTTCTATGGATCAACTGAGGCTGGTCATCATCTGTGGTATTAGGTTATCATTTTAATCGAAAAAAAATCCTTAAGATTGCGTAAATAATAACAACGCTTTTTTTTTCTTTTCTTTTTTTTTTTTTTGGGGGGGGGGGCTTTTATTTTGTTTTTCAACACAAATAATTATACGAACATTTATGAGAACGATGCCGTCGCCAACATTTGTCACAATGATACAAAATACACGAGATTGCTTGGTGAAGTTTGCTATCTCAGACGAACCGTTGAAAAGAGGGTTACACCGTAACACATTTATGCGGTATTTGGTATATACTGCAGGTCACTAAGCGACCATGACAGTGACAAAATGAGGGCTTATCCTGTCTGACTTCAGAGTTCATAAACGTTTCTGGAGATATGGAAACAAATTTGTGTATTCATTAACGTTCTTATCAGCTAATGCTTCAGTTCATTTTTATTCTCATGGGAACAATAATATTCTGGAACCTCGTTGCAAATTTGAGGCAAAATTGTTTGCCTGTGTAGCTGCAAGTTACATGGGATCGAATCATTGTTACAACGTGACCCGTCTTTCACTGGCAGTGGTCACGGTACGGACGGCTTGTTTTTTGTGTCATTATCGGGGATCCAGATAGTATCATCCAGCGCACTTGTGAATCCGACTTAAAGATCGGAGATTGACCGAAGCGTTCCAATAGTCCATTCTTTGACACGGGAGATAAACGGCTGGATCTCACTGATGAGTTTTATAGCTGACAATGGCTTTGAAGTTCTGTTGACTTACGTTCGCCCCACACGCCTACGGTCCGCTACAGGAAGATTGAAGTCCATCTTTCTTGGATTCATATGCGATTTTCAGATCTAAAAACTAAAGTATCGTATCATTTTCTTTAGCAACAATCTAGCAACAATAAACAAGTATTACGGTTTTTTTTTGGGTAGTTGTTTATGTAAGGGAACGGTACAAAATCACAAATCACAGAGAGCTTCTCGGAAGTGTGTCCGTAAAGATACTTGTTGATAAAGAGCAGATTTAAGCATCCCTCTACATTTTTAAACGTGCACGTACAACACGTCATCAATGTTTCGTTTATGTTTCCATTATATATTTTCCCTGTTTGTGTACCTTGTATGTTACCATGGTTATTATGTTTGGACTTGCTTGTCATAGACCTTAATGGTTTGTTCTTATAATTATTCCATTTTATCTTACTTAAAGTGAGGCAAGATTCAGATATGCACACGAAGATTTTTCTGTTGAGTAACATGTATCTAATGTTTCTTTATTTTTGTTTCCTTCTCTCAAACCTTGTCTCCTTATCTTCCTCCCTCTTCAAAACTATTACCAATTTTCTTCCTCGCCCTCCTCTCAACTTTCACCCTAATGTATACTCATTTTCTGACTTCCCATTCTTGTCTTCTCTTGCCTTCTTTTTTCTCTGCCACCCCACCTCTCTTCTATTTCACAATATACAGGGCAGTCTGCATCGGCTTCTGACGCTTTTCGTATTCCTCCTCGCATGGGCAGCCGTCTGCGGAGCACCGAGAAGAACGGGCGACGGAAGTCTCTCGAGATACAGTCCTGAAACAGAGCACACGAACTCTTTATTTTTCGACGATGACTCTTCGCATCCAATGGCTGCGATATCAGCGGTTGAAACATTACGACAGACGCCGCCGAAATCTCCAGAGGCTGAAAACGCGAAGGACACTTCAGCAAATGCAGCAGCGGCGGAAACGGTGGCGGCACCAGGGTCATCGCCGTCGACGTTATTGAAAACGGGTAGCGAGCCAGCCATGCGGATGAACGCAAACGCCGTTCCGTCTCCGCTGGACTCTGTCAATATGATGCCAGGGGTGTTCCCGGGATATATGTCCCAGAGGGTCGTATTTTCCGCCGAGCGCCCTCAAACACCGCCCTGGCCCGGCGATCATTCATTCAAGCCGGAAGCCTTTGACGAAGAGGGCGATAGTGCTAATAAGACGGATGATTCGGAGGTCGCACATAGTAGACGACGTCGCTCGTCATCGGTCAGTGACTTGGAGGAGGTATGTGAGAGTACCAGTGGGTGGATAGTCAAAAAATGGGGTACAGACATGTATGGACAAAACGTGACCATCCTTTCCGAGATAATGACCGCTGGCAACATTCAGGTAACGCAGTGGTTTTACGAGACGGCGTGCGCGCGTCCACAAGGCCTGCACGGCGTGCAAAGGTGCTTAGGGATCGACAACAACAACTACGACTCGGTGTGCCTGACAAAGTCGGCATGGGTCTACGCCATGATTCGAACAGCGAGAGGAGAGGAGGGGTGGACGTGGATTGCAATTAGCTCGTCATGCAATTGTGCAGTCAGACAGTTGAGTCTCTTAGAACAAATAGGGCGCCGTAGTCGATTAACGAGGCTGTAAGGCTTTCGGTAGAAGCAAAACATGTGCTCTTTATTGCTTATCATTATTTATATTTAATGGTCTTAAGTTATTGAAAATGTATGTTATATTATTATTTTGGTTTATATACATGTTTAAAGGATCAAATGACACTTTTGCTGGCAAATCATTAACCAGTGATCGAAATGTCCTTGTAAATATGGATGACCATGTGGGACGTGCAACAATGCATTGAATATTATGTGCGTTGTTTGCAAAGTACAGAATTATAAATGTATTCTAAATTATTTGAATAAGAAGTATGTTGAATGTTATAATAGCGCTCATATCCACTATTAAGCAAGGTGCTCAAGGCGCTCCAATATTCCTCCGCCTGCTCTAGCTAGGCTACCGGTTTCGGTGCTCACAGCATTTAAGTGATTCTTTCCTACCGGTACCATTTGAATACCTGGGTGGAGAGTAAAAATATTGATTGTCTTTTCAAAGGACACGAAGTGGGCCTTCTTGAAATCAAAACGTAAACTACTCATGAAAGTAGTTCTTAACACGAATAACGTTGAAGGAGGAGTAACGAGGATACTAACATACTGGAAGAAACAAGGTTGAAAGATATGCTTTCCAAAGGGCCGAACCCTCTTCGGAAAAAGGGGGCCAAATATGTTAAATGATGGTGTTAAAAGGCACAAACTTGATCGATAATTTAATTATTTGTACCCCAGTTCATCTTGTTGGTTTTTGGTTCCTAACATTCCACGAAAAAAATTCCTCAAAATTAGTCGTTCTACCTCAAGATGTCATGTTTTTACCTAGTTATGGTTGATTTTTCACAGGTTAAAAATTCGGAAAGTTCACAATGTTGCAAACCATAAATTATTTCCTAAAACAAGGTACATTAACCTTTAGATTTATGAGAATATGACATGTAACATTTTATTGAAACTGTAACGATATCATTCCGACGATATCCACAAACCTTCGAAATACTGATTATTTTAATAAAATAAAAAGTTTTAGCAGCTCAGTCAGGACCCGATAAATCAGTGGCAACAACACTTGTTAATGTGTTTTGCAGTTTGACACGCTCGACACCTCGCCCCCCCCCCCCCATCCCCACCACTTCTCCGCCCCGACTTAAATTAATGAATTGAAATAATGAATGTCCTGATTCCTAAGGTTGACTAAATATTATAATCGGTTTGTCACGTCTATGGGGGCCGCTTTATAACCTTTAACATGGTGTCTAGTTTTCATCGGGTTCCATCTTATCATGTGCAGTGAACAATCAATCCATTTCGGAGGAATGTATTCTACCGAATTAGCAATATTCAGTGATAATTTTAGGCAATGTTTCTTGGATAGTTCTGAAGGATCAATACCTCCGCCAACAAAAGGGCTTCGGAACTTTATTCATCAACTTTATCCGATCTGAATCATGTAAATGTTGACTATTACTTCGCAGATTTATATCTTTAAACATCATTTTTAAATTTTTATTTAAACAAAATATGTTTTAAGAATAAAAGTGTCCGTTTTGAAAATGTGCATAATGGTGCATTCGACAAATTAAGCACGGACTGAAAGTAACAGGTTATGAACTTTGACAAATAAATTTTGTCCTTATTACCAGAATTTTCATGTGATCAGATTTCCAGGAAGCTTTGTCGTTGATCGTGCCAAAATCAGTTTTGATTTCAATTTAATCGATATCACAATCAGAAGCTCTTTTGTCTACTCAAATATGAGCGAGGAAATTGTAATATCCTTTCAACTTGGTAGTCAATAATCACTTTAGAACCACTTAAAATTATATCATCATGTCTGCAAGAGTTGTGTTGCTTTCATCATATCTGAACAGGAAGTTGTTATGCGAAGATACAGATTATGATTTTTTTTTTTTAATCAGTTGTTGGGGTACTCTTAACATTTAGTTTAAGCTTCTACCAACCTTAAAATTCAGTGGACAAGCTTTCATCCACTCCTGTGGACGAGGCAGGAGACAACTAGAAACTGTGTGAATAATCATTTGGCTTGAAAAAGCCCACATTTAATGGACGGAACTTTCCTACAAAATATTTAGGTCGATAGAAGCTTAAACTAAATTTTTGATGAAGATCGCATTTGAGAAAATCTATTCCCACATATCTTATATCGATATCGATAATACTAGTTCTATTTGAAACCGTGTGAAGAAAAATATCTATGTCTCTTTTCGTATAATCCTTTGACGATTGGCTCAAGTAGGAAAACTTGATGTTATCACAAATTTTGTGAAGAGAAGCTGTGTATTGGGGGACTATTCCAGCCGCTCCCGGTTTTATTCTTTCCTCATATTTGTAGATTATGAGCAAATAAGTATGACAATCTATTTTACATATTTTCGTGTAAAAATTCCTAGCATAATAATGTTTATGTAACCCTTTTGTTGTTAATTATTAATATCAAACATGGAATTCCATGCGTGATATCATTCACACGATCGCAACTATTTTCGAAAGATCAATTCAATGGCAATTTCAAAACCAAATTTTATATCCAATATACATCATGCTCCGATTACGTAATGTAGCTTCTTATGTTCGTACATTTCAAAAGGTGGCGTACAGGGCCATTGCAATAAGCCAGTTCAAAGATACAATCTGCGCATGGGCAGATAAAGGTCATTTGTACCAAAAAGTAAAACCCACAGAGATGAATACTAGATATGCCGTCATGAAAGTTATGTAACAGTATTCATTTATGCACCAACGGTACATTCTATGATACGCAGGTGGAAGTATTCTTTTCATGAGGGCAAACAAAAGGTATTCATGAAGCACATCTCGGACTTTGGCAGTTATTATTCTAAGATGTTCAAAGTGGAACTTCTCCATGTGTAAAAGATCTGTGGATATTTGGGGTCATTTGTACCATGTGCTATCTGTAAACTCCCTTATTGCCTTAGGATGATTTTTCGAAAATGGTTGCGGTCGTGTTCATTGTAAATGCGGCAAGTATTCAAAGATAATTATTATGAAAGTCTAGTATCAAATATCAATCTAGTCAGTGAACAAATAAGGGCGGGAAAAATTCCAGCCAATCACGCCACTGGGAAGGTTAACCCTTTGCTTACTTGAACCTGGGGGTCCCTGTGTTAAGTCTATGGGAATTGGATAATTCAGTTGTCAACGGGTTAAATGCACGTTTTTAGCGTTCATACAGTTTGTATACTTGCTACAATATTACCGAAACGTATCCAGGCAGTGGTTTTTGTTTTGTGTAGACAAATGAAATATTATGATAAAGGGGTTCGTAATGTATTCATTACCAACTATTTAATCAAATGATATGGGGAAAAAAGAAAGAGTGGTGGATGTTACTCGTATCTTTCAAAGTAAATGAGCAGACAAGCAACTGATCATAGTCGTATTGTGTATATGAATTTTTAAAGTATAGGAATTATTTATTGACCAGTATCCTTCCTGTTTTATATAATTTATCTATTTATTGAATACCTCAGTATGAGGCTATGATATTCACAAGTTTTTCGATCGCACTAGCAGTGTCATGTATTCATGTGAATAATAATAATAATAATAATGCGATTGTACGAATCATGCTAACCGTCTAAACGCTGAGTCGTTAGAAAAAATATAAAAATGAAGTATTTTACCCAATAAGATGTAATGATATTATACTATGCTATTGTCAGCAAGAAAATATTAAGATTGGCAAATAAAACTTCTCTGATTTCAATGTTATACGTACATTTTCATAGTATCTTTTTTACCAAAGTTCGCGTTGAATATTGATAAACCGGTATGTGTGAATGTTGATGGTGAAATTAAAACAATGATAAATACAGCTACAATAATATTGCGCAAATAGCCATCTCAAGGGATGATCAAGGCGCCTACAAAGTACTACTCTTACCCTGGCTTTAGTCCTGCAGTCCAAAGGCGCTACAAGTATTAAGAGCAATAAAGGTAACCTTTGAATAACGTGGGTGGATGGAGAGTGGCAAATGTAGAGTAAAATGCCTTACCAAAGGGCATTAATGGCCCCGCAGGACTCGAAAAACGGACCCTGTGATCTCTAATTCAAAGACGAATGACTTGAATTAGATGAGGTTTTTTGTTGTTGTAATAGTGCAGTCCTTAAATGATTCTCTAAAGATGTAATATTAAAATGTAAAAATATTATTTCTTTCAACAAAGAACAATAACATACCCCTAAAAAGGGGACCTTTAATGATTTCACCTAAGAATAAAATACAGTAGAAAATATCACTTTCTCCCCTCTAAGAATATTCTGGTTGGTTGGTTTTATTTTCCGTATACAAATTCAAATACATACAAGAATACAATTTACAAATATAATACAAATCAAGAATTAAAAACGGCTGGAAAGCTCTATTCAGAGCCATTATCAAAATGGCTCTGTTCTTCCTAGAGACCCAGAATTTGCACCAAATATTTTCACAAGGCACTGGGCTTATAGCTTCGGTTCATAATCGGGTATAACAAAGGAAGTTAGTTTAAGGTCCAATCTCTCCTTAATAGCTTTTTCCCTTTTATTGAACATGATATTAAAGCCCTTCTGCACTAGTTTGGCCAGGAGGGATTCGACCTCCCTCTAAGGTCACTGGAAGGTGGTTATCTCTTTAAATCAGCTCTCAATTAACATAAGAAAAAGAGGATAATGGGGGACCAACAGGCACCGATTAGGAATTGTTTGCTATATAGAGGGCGCCAGTAGCTATAGGTATTGCAGTGGGGCTTTAAACCCAGGGTCAGGTGTAACTGAATTAATAGGATACATACGTATAAGGAGAAAATAAAGTGAATTTCCCCCTTCTCAACACAATAATACACATTACTGTTGACGCTCGTTATTGTCATTTTAAAGCATATTTATTAATTTCTGCATAATCCACCAATACAGCAAGTCAGCAATCCACCCTTTTTAACACTGTTCGGTAACCTTTATCGTTAGTAATTATATGATTATTACTTTCATTAAGATGATAACGTTGATGATGATGT